AATGTTTCGACAACTCCCCAGAAGCCACTATTCAATCATCGTTTTACAACTGACCAATCTGTGTCAAAAAGATCATTAGGCAGCAATGAACAAAGCTGGAAGTCTTATCGCTCGAGATCACACCAACCCCTCCATTACTTTGTGATTTGGTAGATGTACCATATACGTTACAATGAAAAAAAACCTCCACCAAGTGTAGACAACTTTCAAAAATATCCTTTGAACCACCTTTCCCAAAGCTATACCTCTGTGATACCTGCTTTCTGGCACAGACAGTACAAAAATTCTGTCCCAGAAAAAGCCAGAAAAATAGACATAATCACAATTGCTGTGTTAGACTACGTACAAATAAAATAAATAAATTAGGAACATCATGTAGTTAAGACTAAACACTGCACACTCTAGTTGATCTGTGCTTCTCTGCATAGTATTGAAAAATCCAGTAGAGATCTGTGAGTATCGTTTACTGTGTTGTGCATCTGCTGAGGTGTTAAGCTATTTGGTTGGGTGAATCCATGTGTGGTTTCCTCAAGACCCATTTGAATGAGCTAAGATGATGCAGGTTTCCAGGAGACAGACAGCTTACAGAAGCAACGCTCAGGTATGCATTTAATATCTTAGAGCTTGTCTGTACAATGTATCTGAACCATAACTAATTTAGACAAGATCAAAGACACGGTCTGGGCACTGTTAAAACTGGTGAAAAGTCAAAGTCTGATCAGCTGAAAGACAATATTATTTGGTATAAATTGCCTTTCAGTTCAAGGCCCAGACTAAGACTTTTATATTCCCTTTAGCTACTATTGTTTATCTGAACTGCTTGAAGTATCTTTTCTTTTTTTCCACAAAGATGAAGCTAACCGGTTGTATCTACTATTCTTCAATTAAATAGAAACAACCTTTTAAATCTTTTCTTCTTTGGCAGGACACACTAGTTTAAAGACCTATTATACATGACAACAGTTATTCATTGATAAAATTACAGAAAATTAAAACTTTAACTAAGAACATAGCCACTCCATTGTTCAGATGATAAGGCAGATGTTACCAAACAGATCCTGTCCTTGCCAAACAGCAGTAGGAAATAAAAGTAAACTTTTGTCCTTTTTTTAATTATCTCTTATCTGTTTGAAAATCTACTTTTTAAAAAGCCAGAACCTTTAAAAGGACATTATACTCTGCAGATTTTAATTACAAGATCTACAAAGCCAGTGGAGGGTCAATTCCATTCACAGTGGGACTTGCACTGTAATACTTAGAAGTGAATTAAATATTTTCTTTAGATACACAAGTACAGATTTCTTCAGCAAGACTCCTGAAGCAATAGCAAATTGTTTTTCATGCTATACTTCTATGAAGAAAATAATGTTCTCATACTTGTGCAAGGCTGAGTGCTAGATCACACAACAAACGTACCTTCATGAAGAACATAATGGTAGTATTTGCCTTCTATATTGGTGTCAAATCTGGATATGGTGTCATACTGGATATGTAATAGTGCAGGCTCTGGATTTTGTAAATGATATGTTGCATAATTTCATTTTCACTAACTTCAATAAAAAGACTTACAAACTAAAAAACCTAGAGATTCATATCTTCGAGTATCATCAGTTCACAGATGAAATTTCCTGTTTACTGAAAACACCAAGTATAACCAACTGAAAATAAGCTTACAAGTAGTGCCCTATTTTTTGACTAGTCAGAGACTCCACAGAATGACTCAAGGAACAAAATCACTCAGTTGTGTTGAAGATATCAAAACAAAGCTCTCAACTGTAGACTTTCTTATTAAAGCTGTTCTATAAATAAGAACTATGGGATCTAATAGGCATAATGATTCACCCTGACTTCAAATACACAATATTTCTACCATCAACAGCTGCAGCTAATATTACAGACTGGCAATTTTCAGAATCAGTCTATATTCAGGGGGAAAAAGTATCAGTGCATACATGGTTTTAAGATTTTATGAAGTCAGAAAAGTGTTAGTGTTTCATAAGAAGAAAAAATGCTATGAAGATTAGTTGAAACAACTACCTGCCTCACTAATCCTTAGGTTTTCCGAACCGTTTTTTCTGATTCTCTGCACTTCCACAAAGCAAGCCAAGTAACTATACTGTTTTTACTGGGTATTTGAAAGAAGACAGAAAATAGCAATTTCAATCCATTAATATTTTTCCCTTGTCCTTTCCTTTCAAAAATCCTGCATGTTTACCATTGATCCTAGGAAACAATCAGTTTAGACTGTTATAGTCTCTCTGCATATAAAAGCTGCTGGTTCAGCCAGCCAGTTTCCCAAAAGGAAGATGAAATCCAGGCACAGCCAGAAATTTTAACTTTTTAAAATAAGAAAGTAAGCACTGCTTTTATCCCACCAAAATATTTCAGAAGTACAGACTGAATATTATGATGGATAGAGATTATACCTAAAATGTTATGCTAGACATTTTCAGCATCTGTCCCCAGGTGTCTGCATGGTATTTGTGTACATGTTTGCCCTCACGTTTATGAAGAATTTTACAAATTATACAAAGATGATTAAAGCAGGCATGGCTCTCTTTACTTTCCTGCTTTCCTTTGAAAAGTAAATGAGAGTTTATTGTACTATTCACTAAACTGCTTGCATTAAGTGTATTTGTGCTGGGATCTTCTTGGTCTAAAGGATTTCACCCCATTACTTGCAGAGATTCACAGTTAAGTGTATTTGGTGCATGGCCAGAGGCTGGGGGTTGGGAGGAGGAGGGGAAAAGTGGATGCCTTAGAAGATTTGCAGAAAAGGTGTTTTTGCCTTACACAGTAAGCCATAAGCATATATCAACATAAGTTGCTAAAAATAATTCAGAGATAGAAATTTATCTATATCACAATGTGTAATCCAACCCTACCTTAGAGGGCCAAGAAAAGAGTCAAAGCTTTGAAGACAGATCTAGAAAATTGGGCTGAAGACTCAATGTAATGTTTAGCACAGCAAGCAGCTGATTCCATTGTTACAATATACTTCATCTTGCTATTTTAAGTCTACGCAACTTCAAAGACACATTTGCAGGTACAGTCTTGGAGAGCCAGCAACTTAAGACACCACAAGAATGTCAATTGGTGTGTAGGGGGAGGTTAAAAGGAGGATTAAAAGCAGTCAGGCACGATATATTAAATGAATCCATGACTAACAGAGTGGGACAGCAAAGGGTTTCAGACTCTTCAACAGAATAGATCCCTAGGGCTGGAAGTATTACTCCGCTGTGCCTTTATCACTTTGGAATTTTATGGTTATTTCTGATGAATTCACATTTTTGTAAAGACATTTTTGACATTAAGGCACTTTTCACTTTTAATTAAAGCCATAAATAACCTTAATTCTGCATTAAAAGGTTTATTGTTTCTTGCTTTTTATTATTATTACTGCCAGGAAATATTTCAAATACCAAAGCATGATGTTAGTTAGCAATCAGAAGTTCTCAGAGGTCCAGTAACTATGCTGTACCTTGTAAACATAACACATTGCAAGCTTTATCAATGCTTTAAGTATCTGATTTAATAGATGTCACAATTTTTCGTTTCTTTTGTTGAGGTTTGGCTTATCTCCCCCTTCCATATATCAATGTATCTCAGGTGACCAATGAGCATAAATAAATCCTTATCAACCAGGAAGGACAAAATAAGCAACTTGAAGTCTAAAATGTGACCACAGAGAGACAAGTGATGAGTAAAAAGGGCCAGGTTTAAACTGGCACAAAGAAGGAATGAAAAATGAGAAAAACCAAGTAGTGAATGAAATGCAGGAAGGAAAATCTTACATAGTATTGCAATCTGACAAAATGAGAGAAAGGAGATAACACATTATTTCACTTTCAATGGCAGTAATGTTACAGTGCAGTTTTAATACCTGTATTGAGGTCCATTATGACAGCTGTAGTTGAGACATCACACACAAATTTTTCAGAATGCAACATCTTGATCAATATTTATTTTATATGCTTGTAAAAGTGGCTGAGATGCCCTCCTGGGACAGTCAGGGCAGGTCTCACAGACCTCTTCTGGCAGTCCTGCCTGTGGGCAGCATGCACAGGAGCAAGGCACCCAAAGAACTACTTATTAATGTGAAAATGAAAGCTCAGTCACTTTGTCTCTGATACAGGAGTGGGCACCCGTAAGTTTAAAGGAAATTCCTCAGGAATACTACATGCCAGTCCTTCACAGGCTGACATGCAGGTCTCTGCTGCTACGTCCTGATTCAATAAACCACTGAATCAAAACTTTATTCTTGAATTTGTATACTGCAGGTTTAAAGACTGCCACTTAGTGCTTCCAGTGTTGTACAACGCATTTGCTACTTTCTATGAATGGCCGTGCATTTAATGTTAAAACTTCTAAACTATAACTTGTTTTACATGGGACTGACATTACTGCCAGTAATTAATAGGAGATAGGGTGAAAAATGCTCAGAAAAAGGAATTATTCCCTTAGGTCAGAATTCAGCTCTTCAAAAATGTGCTTTTACATATAAACAACTGTTGACTCGTGGACTTGCCATCTTCAGGGAACCTGCATTGTGAAATGTCTTGGTATTTGGAAGTGTTTGGCATATGGAAATGTAATTTAGAGCTTAAACACACATACTGTCCATCTGCCCTCAAATTCCATCCTTACATCTGAGACTGGCCATATAAACTGGATTTTGTATTACTATGTATTTACCAGGTGAGAGAACTCTTAAAAACAAAAATTTCTGGTTTCAAAAATTATTTTTCATTTGCCTCCTTATGTATGTTTAGTGATTAATCATCACATCAGAAAATAAAAACATTAAAGCAGGCAACCTCATTAAGTCAAAGATTAAGTTACCATCTATATAAGAACCATGTCTATTACTTCCCATTAACATTTTTTCTAATCAACAGTCTGAAATCAGCACAGGTACTTGAAGGTACATTGAAACATCTAATATTAGAACACTGACTTCTCCACGTAAGATTTACACGTCAACATGGGAGAAAATTTACCTTTTTCCTGACTTGTAGGTCTTTGGAGGAATGTGCTTTCACATGCTTTCTCAGGGAACTTGGATCTGTGTAACGTTTAGTGCATCCTGGAATCTGACATGCATACGGTTTCTAAGTGAAAAAGAAAAAGGATAAAGCAGTTGTTGCATCACGCAATATTTTAATTCAAGATAATCCCTTCTGAGCCTTGGGATGCTGCAAATCACATTACTACAGAATAAAAATTTACATTATTACAAGCAGTATGCTTGGTAACTTATTATAAAGAGAAAGGAGGAAAGTAAGGCTTGTAAGGAAGACAAACCAAAGGAAAGCTTCCATTATGGCACCTTTCACTGTTACCTTTTTTTTTTTAATCAGTACAATGAATATTGCTAGTTATACTCACAATTCTTCCACCCTCAGAGCAATCTTTGGCTTAATCAGAAATTACATTCTTTAGTGAATCAGGTAAAGAAACTGCAGTAAAGGCCCAGATAGACTGTTTAGGATTACAGAAGAATCTGCTTCAGAAAAGAGAACAAGAAAAAGTGTTAGTTTACTACATTGCAAGGAGAGCAAGCAAAAACCAAAGCAAGCATTGAATATTGAAGTTTCAAAAATATTACACACTAAAATACACATTTTAATGTGAAGTACAAGATCATCTCCTTCAGCTCACATTTTCTAATAACACATGTCATTTTAGAAAGGTACCAGTCCTAAAATACCTTTATAGTTTTCTTAAAAGAAAGCCCAATAAATCTAACTCACAAAATAAACATAAATCTCTATAAATGTCTCCTTCTCCCTGTTCTAAATTGTCTGTCTTCCCTGATGACTTCTAGGTCCACAATACAGAATATTAAAAGAACATCAACTGTTTGCTGAAACTAGCTATTTTGCAATTTAGCCATTTATGTTTCACAAAGCATTTCTGAAAAGACCTTGTACAAATGATTAACTTACCAGTGATTCTAGTGACTATTTGATATAGATAATTTCAGTTTTGTGACAGCCATTTAATTCAAATGGCATTGTTCTCATTTTCTTTCTGGACTTCTGCCTTTTGGAAACTGCTTGTCTCTGACAAAACATGATCTTTTATTACTAAACAGAAGTTTTTAAACAAAACTCAGCTGTGACTCAACAATTCGTTCGCATGAAAATTTTTGGATTTATAAAACTATTCTTCCTCTCTTGAATTTCTGGTACATGTCCCAGCCTTAAGTTTGACTGAGTTTTTGTCAGAAAACAGCAGTTACTACTGCAGATGACTTCTGTCTCTTTGCACAATGACAGCAGGTTCCCTGAAGCTTGCCAAAGTGAGAGCAAGTTCCTGCCTCTACCTGTCCATGGAGCTGTGGCCTTTTTGTCAACTAGTCTGGCCCATCTTCATCCCTGCTCACATTACTGGGTCACTTCTGAAACAGCTTAAACAGCCTCATCAGACACCTCACCCTCCTATCTCTAGGGTTATGGGCTACCTGCCACCACCAAGTCAGAGGAAAGGAGCACATGGTCTAATGTAAAGGGGACTGCAGTGTGACTTCTGCTTCCTTACAGTGTCCAAGTGTGTCCTCTGGTGCTTGGCGCGGTCGCTGCTGTTGCTGAATGCTTTCTGGCAGCCAGGGTGCTGACAAAGGTAAGGCTTTTCACCTGTATGGCTCCTTAAGTGAATCTTCAGATTTTCTAGTCTGGAAAAGGCTTTCTTGCAACCCTCAAACTAGAAAAGAAAAAGACATTATTTGAAAGGGAAGTACACACAGCAAGCTGCAACAGGAACCACTGAGCGGGAGGGTGAAAAGGGCTTGCAGGGACCTCCACCCTGCTGGGGCTGGATGTCTCTCCAAAGCTGAGGAACGTCTGGCTTCTCAGTGTGGGTGGTGCTCCAGGGTTTGAACCATTTAGACCATAGGAATGTGTTTACCCTACCTGCACATGGCAGATTTAAGAAACAATGTCGTACTCCCATTTTATAGATGGGATACTGAAATTGAGAGAAACCGGTCAGCTCCAAGTGTAGGACACTCAGCCTATCTGGGAAACACAGCCCCAGCCAATGCTCCACATAGCACACAGAAAGCAAAACAGTCACCGCGGGGTTTTGAAGTCCCGTGCTAGGTACCATCTTCTCAGCTATGGGCTTTTTGAGATATTAGCAACTGAGCTGAACACAGGTATATCTCAGTGCCAAACCAACCCACAGAGTACAACAAAATCACTCAGGAAACGTCAGCCTGCTCTGCCTTGCTGATTGTGCTGTGAAAACTAAAATTATTTTTAAATGTTTCTTTACCTTTATGCCATAAGTAAATGTATGAGGTATTAAAAATAACAGAAGCCCATCAAAATAGGATTCAGTGCCTATGGGTAATCAATAATCATGTGGCACAGTATTTCTACATGAAATCAAGTACTGCAGAGAATCCCATGTTTTTATGAGCAGAAAATCAGTTCATCTATCACGTTCCCATAATATACTCCATCCTAAGAGAAACTTAAAAACTTCAGTTCTATTTGACATCAGCTTTTTTATCTACACTTGATTTCAATTAGACATGAATATTTATGAATATTAATGAGAAGTATAGGCTTTTTTTATTCAGTTAAGATCAATTAATCTCATTAGTTTGAGCTGCTGCATCTTCCACTGTTCAACATCTGAAGAATCTGCTGTATAACATGCTACTTTGCAGTTCCTGTATAGTTGCAAAAATAATAATAATGCATTAACACAGACGTTAAACGTTTCTAACGCTAACACAAAATCTTCCAACATTGCTTTTTGTATTCACTCACTTAAAAAGAAACAGGCCACTTTTCACTGATGCTAGAATAATGCAAATAAATTTTATAATATATTATTCGGTGCATGTATGGTTACAAAAGCACAGGTAGAAAAACACTGACATAATTCTGACCATAATTAGCATGTCACAGATCTCTATGACCCTCAAAAAGAGAAAAAACAGGATATAAAATTTTCATCACTTTCTTTTAAGCACTTCAGGATTGTGATTAATTAATCTGGAGAGTTACAGCTTCAAAGATTAAGTGCCAAACAAACTGGGGAGGCTGAATTTCTGTACAGCACTCCCTAACAGCTTTGGCTTAGTTTTAGCAACAGAAGGAAATATAAACTGAATGTTGCCCAGGAAATCACAATATATAGGAGAAAAGACACATTACCTAAAAAATAGCAATATTAAAATCAAGCTTAAGAAATTAAAGCTTGAGAAAGGGGAAGAACCACCCTCCACTATAACATAACTGCAATTTTATCTTCCACGCACATCAATTTCAGAACATTTCTCAACCCATGAAGATTTTTATTTATATCCCATGTCTCTGTCCAGAGCAAAGTTAACAGTGCTTTTCAGATTGTCCAATTTTGATAATGAAACATTAATTTGTGCTTGTACATATAGTGTTGCCTTTATATTTATGAAGGTTTAGTATGCAACCAGAACATTGCTGCAGGTGTAAAACCATTTTTACTTTTAGGGAACTGTAATTAGAAAATAATAAGAAAATTTTAGACATATATCTGTTACAATTGCCTAAATAAAAATATCACTTTTTTAAGGCAGAGTGGAGAAAGCATAAAAAAACTGTGACAACTAAAAGACTGATATAACAAGATGCCTTCAAGAAGCAAAATAATTCAAGAAAAAATAACAAAGAAACCTACTGATCAGCGTATCCTACCTAAACAAGTTATTATTTCCTATTAAAATAATTTTTAAAACCCCATCCATTCTAGTGACTGTAACTAAGCTGTACATAAGCATGAAATAAATTCTAATATTTCAAGCAACCAGCAATTTCACAGGGTGAAAGTTCATTGAAAAAGTTCTAACAGCAACCCCTCTGTTTTGTTTATTTCACAACTTATTAAGCTTTGAATCTTCAAGCATACAAACAAAATGTGTAAATAATTGCTTATATAATTGCAAAATTAGAATTGAATTTAACTGAACAAAAACATTTATCTGAGCAGAACTGGGGAATGCTATCCTACAAATTTAAAAACTGTGATTTCTGAAGTCTCCTGCATTGCTGATCATAACCTGGAAGAAGAGAAAACAGTCTGAAGTACTCCCTCCCATTCCCTCCACAGCCTTGAATTACTGTGTGTTGTATTCACAAGGCAATATATAGTTGTGTATTGCAGAAAAGTTCATTCTAGCAAAACACTGAAACTAAAAGCCTGTATTATTAGAAAGCCTATCCTTAAACAACAGTTAATGAATGTTTACTCTAAAAACAAGGCTATTTGAAGTCTTGGGAATCTCTGATGCTTAAGATAAAAGGATTAAAAATCTATTCTTTCCTACAACATAGAACATACGTTCTTTCCTGATAATTAGATTTCAATTTAAGTATTCCAGGAAATATTACAATAAACACTTAACACCCGCTTGGTTGATATGGTGTGACTGGTGGATGTTGTCTACTTGGGACTTCTCCAAGGCTTTCAACATGGTCCCCCACAGTCTCCTCCTTGAAAAACAAACAAACTACAATGTACATAAGTGGTCTGTGTGGTGGGTGGGATCTGGCTGATGGGCTGTTCCCAGCGGGAGGTAGTAAATGGTTTATTCTCTAACTGGCAACCAGTCACAAGTGGGGTCCCTCAGGGATCAATATTGGGCCCAACGCTATTTAACATCTTCATTAGTGATCTGGATGTTGGGATCAGGAGCTCCCAGATGAAGTTTGCTGATGACACCAAAATGAGAGGGGTAACTGACACTCCAGAAGGAAGAGACATCCTCCAGGAAGACCTGGATGAGTGGGCTAGCAGGAACTGTATGAACTTCAACACGGACAAATGTAAGGTCTTGTATCTGGGAACACATAATCCAAGAACGCAGCTGAGACTGGGTTCCACCTGGCTGGAGAGCAGCCCTGTGGAAAGGGACCTGGGGGCCTTGGTGGATGACAAGCTCAACATGAGCAAACAGTGTGCGGCAGCTGTAAAGAAAGCCAACAGGATGCTGGGTTGCATTAAAAAGGACATCACCAGCAGAGACAAAGACTCAGCACTGGTCAGACCACACCTTGAGAACTGTGTCCAGTTTTGGTCCCCGCTATCCAATAAAGATGCAGACAGGCTGGAAAGGGTCCAGAGAAGGGCCACGAGGATGATCAGAGGATGGAAAGACCTGGTGTATGAAGAAAGGCTGAGAAACTTGGACCTGTTCAGCCTTGGGAAGAGAAGGCTTAGGGGTGACTTTATCAACATGTACCAGTACATAAAGGGTGGTGGCTACCAAGAAGATGGAGACTCCCTTTTCACAAGGAGTCACATGGAAAGGACAAGGGGTAATGGACACAAGTTGCTTCTGGAGAGGTTCTGACTGAACTCCAGAATTTTTTTTACCATGAGATCAATCAGACATTGGAACAATCTCCCAGGGGAAGTGGTAAATTCCCCTACATTGGTCAATTTTAAGAGGCAGCTTGAGAGGGTGCTGACTCATCTCATTTAAACTATACTTTTACCTTGAGAGGTTCGACTAAATGATCCTTGTGGTCCCTTCCAACCTGGTAATCAACTACTCCTGATTAAACCAGATTTTTCTGAAGTATTATATGGGGAATCAATTGTGTAATGTTTTCCTAAGCTGCAATACAGAAATCATAGTTACTTTTTTTTTTTTTGTTGCATGCAAATTGAAACCATCTCATAAAGAAAATTTCCTCTCTGTACTTGGGAGTTATTTTTTAAAACATATTTAGTTGAGTGTCCATAAGCATGTTTACTTTACTTTTTTATAAAGACAGTGGTCAAAAGAAACAAACAATGTATTTATTTAAGTATTTATTTGGTTTATTTAAATGTATTTATTTGTGTTCTCAGGAGTATGCTGTACATGTTTGTATCCACAGAGATGGTTCAGTGTACTGGGCAACGATCCTGTAAGATTACAATATAATTACATAGATTTATATAAAATAATCTGTGCAGCAGGTAAAGCCCTATGCACTTCTGATCCCTGTCAGGGAGTTAGACCTGCGCTATGAAATACTTTTAAACCCTTACACTGTAGGAACAGCATGGCAATACCTAAGTGAATATTTTACCATTTGTAGCAGATATTCAGTGAACAAGTGTTTAAGAAATCAGTCAATTTTCACTGTAAATTATCTCAGTTGATCACCAGTGTGTTTAACAAAGATTGAATACCTTGCTTGGGCAAACAATATCTGTCTGAGATCTGGTCCATACACAGAAAAGTACCTAGTCTTGATTTAAAGTCAATGACAAACAGCCCAGCTTCCTCTTTATCCAACTACCCCCTAATACTACCTGGTATGCAAAATCTTCACTTTTTCCTATTTGAATTTGTTTTACTTCAGCATCTAATGTGTTTTCTTTAGTACTTTTCTGCTATGTTAATGTCTAAAGTAATTTAAAAGTTAACTTTGGATTCTAGGTATTTTCTGTTATCAAGTCACTTAACTTTCTTCCAAATAATTTATATATGCAAAATATGCATTTATATAAATTGATATATTATATATAATAAATTGATATTTCATATATAAATTATTTGCTTTCTCATTATAAACAATACTTTCTCAGACCTACTTTAAAATTGATTCTAAAACCAAAACAAATAAAAAATACTCTTAGAAATACTGACACATGAGCAGTATTTGATTTTACAGTAACGGTTCATCCAATATACAACATAATCATAGAATCACAGAATC